ATACAGAATCATGTGGCCACCGGGCGGGGGAAGCTGGCCTGCCTGTTGACCGTGACCTCCTCCCACCCAGCTACTGGAGAAAGACTGGCCAGCCCCAGCTGGTCGGCTGTGGGGGTGGGGGGTGAAGGTGGGAGTTCCTTCTAGAGGCTGTGGCATGAGAAGCTACAAGGGCAATGTTGGTTGGGCAAATTACCTGAGTCTCCTAAGACACGTGCTAATAAGTAAGTGCATGAGCTAGTTTTGTTATGCGTTAGTGTGTGTGTGTGTGTGTGTGTGTGGGGGGGGGTTGTTTTTGTTTTTTGGTTGTTGTTTTTTTTAATTCTCACCTGAGGACATGCTTAGAGAGAGAGAGAGAGAGAAAAAACGTTGATGTGAGAGAGAAACATCAATAGGTTGGCTTCCATACACTCCCCAGCTGGGGATTAAACCCTCAACCCAGGTATGTGCCCTGACCAGGAATCGAACCGGCAACCTTAGGTGCTGTTAAGCATTAGTTTTGTTGCATAAGAAAGTACCCTGACAATTAATGGCTTAGAACAATAGTCATTTAGCTCATGATGTGGGCCAGCCACCTGGGCGGGCTCAGCTCGGTAATTCCTGTCGGTCTCACCCGGGTGCGTTTCTGTCACGCACCTAGTCGGAGATGGCCTCCCTCTCCGCATGCCTGCCTATAAATTGGGCCACGTGTCTACGGCAAGCTCCACAGCAGTGACATTTTTCAAACTTCTGCTACATCACAGTTTCTAATGTCCCATTGGCCAAAACAAGGCACGTGGCCGAGTTCAGGTTCAAGGGATTGAGAAATACACTGTGGTCTTGCTAGAAGAAGCACAGTCACATGGGAAGCAAACAGGACGGGAGGAACCTGTGGCCGTCTAGATGAGCTGCCGCACCAGGTCTGTCTGCACAGGCCTGCCAGGCGCCACCGAAACCCCCTCCTGCCCAGAAAGCCTCCAGAGATGGGCCTAATGGTGCCTCCCGTGCTAGAGCGCCTTGAAATTGCCAGCTGGCTCATGGGGTGTGAGTCTGATTCATATTTATATCACCACAGGGTCCTCACCTAGCTGGTTCTTTTTTATTGAAGTGTAATTGATAAATAAAATTGTATATATTTAAAGTGTACAATGTGATAATTTCATATATGTACACACTGTGCAGCAATCGCCACAATCAAGTTAATGAACACACCCATCACTTCACATCATTACCTTTTTTGTAAGTGTGAGAACACTCAAGATGTACTCTCAGCAAATTTCAGGTACTAGTGGGTTCTTACTAATTGCTTTTATTGAATTGAGTTGAGTTGAATTGAATTGAGTTGGTTCTCCTTTCTAATTACGAGCTCCTTGAAGGCAAGTTTGGAATTGCTCTAGCACATAAAATCTCCTTCCCACCGGCAGACCAAAATCCTACAGGCTCTCAGTTAAGTGGCAGGAGGATTAGGTCTGGAGCCAGCTCTGCTCAGGGCACTATCTGGGGAAAGTGTGGCACTTGCAGGACACCATAGGCCCTGGCACTGAAGCATCTTCAGGCTGACCATCCCCACATGAATGAAATCACTGTTTTAGCCTTAGGAGGCAGAAAGACTCAGAAACTTGGAGGATGTGGCTCTCCTTCCCCACCCAGGGAAGCGAACATGCAAGGGGCAAATCTCAGCCAGGTCAGGAGGAACCTCGTTTGCCAGCCCCAGGCCTCTGAGACTTCTGCTCCGTGATAGCCCAGAACATGCCAGATCCTGTCCACATCACCTCAATACTCTTCCAAAATTCATCAGGGCAAACAGTTGGGCTGCACTAGAACCAGGGCTGGGAGGGTGGCTGAGACCAAATGTAGGGGACAGGCCTTTTTTGGAGCTGCTTGCACAGCCCCCCTCACTGCTCCGGTGCAGTGCTGCTCAAACTTCTGGTTCTAAACTCCAGAACTTCCTAAGGCTTGAAGATAACCTGGGACAACTTATTCCAGATTGGACCACTCTTTGGGACTAGAAAGGTGTCCTTCCCATGGCATAAGCTGAATCATCAGGGACTTAACTGGTCACAGGCTTAGGAATGAGTTTCCTTTATGTGACACAGTCATGTTCACTGCTTTACTCGCTAGAATTCTACCAACTGCCCACTGTGTGCCAGGCACAGTCTCAGGCATTGGAGCAAGGCGAGATGAGCCAGGCATGGGTCCTGTCTCCGGAGAGCGCACGTGCCCCGAAAACATACATGAGGTGGGAGGCACCAAGTCAGAGGGCTGCATAAGACTACAGAGTTATTGCCCTGGCCAGTGTGGCTCAGTTGGTTGGAGCATTGTCCCATACACCAAAAGGTGGCAGGTTCAATTCCTGGTCAGGGCACATACCTAGGTTGCGGGTTCAATCCCTGGTCAGGCATGTACAGGAGGCAACCAGTCGATGTGTCTCTCTCACATCGATGTTTTTCTCTCTCTTTTCCCCTTCTCCTCTTTCTAAAATCAATAAGCATATCCTTAGGTGAGGATTTAAAAAAAAAAATGCTACAGAGCAGAAGACACCGCATCGAATCCATCCCTCATTCCTCAGAGCAGGAAACTGAGCCCAAGAGAGGGAGCTGACATCTAGAGACACACAGTAAGTGGTAGTTATTAGTTCACTAATCAAGCATTTATTGAGCACCTACTATATAGTAAGATCTGAGCTGGGCACTGGAGATCCCACAGGGAACAAGGCAGACACAGTCCCTGTCCTTTTGGAGGTTCAACTATGACTGGTGAGTCCTAATCCAGTTGCACTTTAGAATCAGCTGGGGAGCTTTAAAAAAACCCCAAAACAATTCCAGGGCCTTATGCCCAGAGACCCAGATTTGCTTGGTCTGGGTGGCCTAAACATGTGTATTTTAAACAAGTTCTCCAAGGGATTCTAATGTGCAGCCAGGCTGAGAACCACTGCTCTAGGGGGAGAGACAGACAAAAACCAAGTAAACATGAATATATTCACAACTGAGATTTGTGATCTGTAAGGAAGGAACAGGATGAGTGAGGATAGAGCAGGGTGGGGTGTTTGTTATCTGATATGCTTAGAGGGCTGTGCTTCCAAGGGTCAGATGGAGCAGGCACAGGCTGTTCTCATATGGGACAGCAATAGAATCTTCTGGGACATATTGCCCACCCTGCAGATCCACAAATCCCTGCACAGGAGCCCTATTGAACAGAGGCTCTCAATCCGCAACATAAAATGACTCTCTGCCCTTCATACACCCCCAACCCCCACCCAAAACACCCGCCCCACTGTTTATGAATTGTCCCCAGGCCCGCAGCTTAATAACCCTTCACATTTTTAGAGTAGTTAGTAAAGCACATTCCCTCTTACTATCTGTAATACGGGATCCTAATGCTAATCCCATGAGTGCACACGGTCAAGTTAACAGTTCCATGATAGAGATGAGGAAAGAGGCCCAGAAAAGTGGTGTGACCCACCTAAGATCACACAGCTTATGTGTGAGACCTCAGTCTAGCTCCCCAGCCTCTAGCTCCGCTCTGCATGTTGCCCCCACCCACAGTGCACCAGGAAACTGAAGCAGAAGCAGGACACCCGAGAGGCAGTGGCACTGCCACCCTGGTCCAGAACTTTCTGCCAGGTTGGGCAGTGGTGATGCGTCGGATGCCATACAATCTCGTTCCCCAGCAGGGACTCATAGGAATCTGTGACTCGTTGCTTTAGTTCCTGCCCAGAGTGAACCCAGTTACTATAGTAACCTGATGCAATTCTTTATTATAGATAGGGAGGGTGGTTTTCATTTTGTATTTGAAGAGTTTGTCCAGCCAGTCACGCTGCCATGGCTTGGCCTGTTGGTGGCAGTTAGGAACAGAGGGAACCCAGGAGAGCCATTAGGTCTTTTCTGTTTCCATAGATGATGGAAAGCTGTGTCTGGAAACACCCAGGCTTAGCTGCACTGGGGAAGGAGGGTGGGGGAGGCTAGTCTGGGTGTGTTGGGTACCCTCTCCTGTTTAGAGATCCCACCTTCCTAATTAGAGCCACCTAAGCAGAGGTCAGCCCCTCAGCCAGTTGCTCCCATAGTTCCCCTCCATGCTCCTCAGGCTCAGAGCTGTTTTGTTCAACCCTGAGTCCTCCTGGTGGACCTCCTTGAGAGCAGAGTCTGAGCCCTTCCCCATCTGTGAACCCCAGCACAAGTCCAGGCTGGGCACACAGTAGGTGTTCAGTGAATGCTTGTTTCAAGCGGCTCTGCCCTTCCTCCTGGCAGGACAGCAGGCATCTCAGTTTCATGGAAGATTAGGGCTTAGGAGCTTAGATGTCACTGAGTCCAGCCCTTATTTTATAGAAAGACTGAGACCCCACCCATTAGTAATGCTAAAAATAATAATAGCTAATCCTTAAAGAGCATTTGCTGGGTGCTAGGCAGGGTTCTATGTGCTTTGTATAAAAAGTCCATCGCAGGCTCACAGTGACAGCTACAGGTATTATCGTCCCCAGATGAGCAAACCAAGGCACAGAGAGGTGCTCAGAGGTGCCCAAGATCACAGAGCTAGTGAGTCTTAGGATCAGGGTCCAGACCCAGGCAATTCCTCCCCAGGGCCCACACCGTCGACACCCGCTGCTCCCTGTGAGAACAAAGCAGACACTGGCGGGTCCTTCCTCTGCCTGGGCCGAGGAGCCTGCATCCCCTGGCTCACAAGGAAAACATAACTTTTCACCTCCAGGTTCCCCTCCAGGGCTTAGTTCAGGGCCTGGCAGGAGCTTAGGGACCTGGTTTTAGTACAAATGAGCTTTTCTTCCTCCTTCTCTTGAAATAGCCAGTTTGGGGGCACCTTTGAGCAGGAAGGACCTGGGGGAGCAATTTACAGAAATGGAGGCCCCAAGGGTGAACATCTCAGCCAGGTCTCCCCACTCCCGTCCAGGGTGCTCACCACACCAGCGAGGGCTCCAGACAGCCCGACGTGGGTCCCCTGCGCCGTCGGGCCTCCGGCACTGTGGGTTGCGTCCCGGCCACGCTAACCGGCTGCCTTCCCGCTCCCCGCAGCTCTTCGTGATCGACAACGGTGCGGACGACTGGCGGATAGCCATGACCTACGAGCGCATCCTCTACATCAGCCTGGAGATGCTGGTGTGCGCCATCCACCCCATCCCTGGCGAGTACAAGTTCTTCTGGACGGCGCGCCTGGCCTTCTCCTACACGCCGTCGCGGGCCGAGGCCGACGTGGACATCATCCTGTCCATCCCCATGTTCCTGCGCCTGTACCTGATCGCGCGGGTCATGCTGCTGCACAGCAAGCTCTTCACGGACGCCTCGTCCCGCAGCATCGGCGCCCTCAACAAGATCAACTTCAACACCCGCTTCGTCATGAAGACCCTCATGACCATCTGCCCCGGCACCGTGCTGCTGGTGTTCAGCATCTCGCTGTGGATCATCGCCGCCTGGACCGTCCGCGTCTGTGAAAGGTATTCCTGCGGTGCCCTGATCCACGCAGCCCACGATTCCCCAGCCCAGAGCCCGCACGGGGAGGGGGAGCGGGGTGCCAGGATGTGTTCGCCTGATGGAGATGGGCAGTACCCCAAACCTCATAGGAGAAAATGGGAAGGGGGAGGGCCCCTAGGCTGAAGATGAGCTCCAGCGTGGAAGCGTGACCAAGGTAAGCTGGGGAAAGTGCGTGTCTAGTATTGCTCACTGTCTGCTCCCTCTCTGTAAACCAAAATATATCAACACCTTCTGGTCACATCGTTAACTGTTCTCAGGCGTAACACTGCAGGTTTTGAATGATCTCTTCTTGTTGGAGATGAATTATACTCACTACCATTTTAAAGGCTCTGAGAAGTCCTACAGTAATGACACTGGTTTGATTTTGTTTAGTCCAGATTTTCTCAAAAGTATTTGCTCACAGACCCTTTTCAACGTATAACACTATTGATGCCTCACTACTCAAAGTAGCATGTGCTTGGGTTCCAACCCCAAACTCTTCGTGGTATTCTTAGCTGAGCAACATCGTGCTAGTCATTGGGCCTCAGTTTTCTCATCTGCAAGCTGGGGATAATAATGCCTACTTCACAGAATCTGTTGACAGAGCTAAACAAGATAGTGTATGTGACCTGTACACTGAAGTACAATATAGTGAGAGTTAATAATAACGAATTCCTGATAACTCAGGAATTTCGTGGCTGCCTTTCTAAAATTAGAGCAGATTCCTGCCATATGTTCCAGTTTTCCTTTCTAAGTGATTGAAGCTGAGTCTTCTAACAACAACAATAATTGAATTTGCACAGCCTGTTAAGGTGCTTGAAATCTTCCCTGTCCTCAGATCACCCCTGTTTGGCATGTACGGTCACCCCAGTTTTCAGATGAGCAGCTGGGCTGAACATGGGGTAAAGTACCTGCAAGCGCAATTTCATCGTCTATTGAATGTGTAACAAGCACAAGTGACTATTTTTTTACTGGGAAATAAGCGTGCTTCCAAGAGCATAGTTTGCAAAGTACTCTCTTGCACTTTGTTTGGCATTGAACGGCTCTGCAAGGCCTCTGTCCACAGACACGACTGACACGCCCCGGCTGAAGTCCAAAGGCACAGAGAAACAGTGAGCAAATCAGAAGTTCACCCAAAGTTTTCCTTTCTCTTATGAAATGGCCCTTCGACCAAAAGGCTTCTGCTTAGCTCTAACATGGGGTATATTCAAGCCACAGTAGGTGTTTTTACTGCTCCTGCTTTTCGGGAGTTTAGCCTGAGCCAGTTCTATGTGAGATGCTTCCTACATGTTATCTCCATTTGCCCCCACAATAGACCTATGACACAGGTAGCATGACTGTCCCCATTTTAGAGTTGAGGAAACAGATAAAAAGGCACTAGCCCGAGGTCACAGCTGGTAGTGTGAAGCCAAGACTTGAACTTGATTTTGAGTCTGAACTTCATATTTATCTCACCACCCCAGGCCGAATCCTGCACTTACAGGGAAACTATGGCCTAGACTCTCCTGGCCACTTTCCCCATCGGAGAGTGTCAAAGCCACTGTGACTGCACATAAATCCCAGTCTTGCAGTTTTGTCTGCCCCTGATGTCTATGTTCTTAACCATTTTATTACACTGTCTTCAGGGCTGACTTCATGTTAAATTCAAACAGATCCAAGTGTAGTGGATACCGTGGTGCATCCCCCAGATGCCCCCTCTAGGTCCAGGCTCTCAGTCCCTCAGCTAGGGTGGTCTGCTGTGGCCGAGCCCTCTCCCAGAATTGCCCTGGCTGAAGGGAGAGCCTCAGCCAAGTTCAAGCTCCCTGCCCAGGGCAGCAAGCATACCGTGGCTCATCAGTGCAGGAGGTTAAAGGCCCAGCCCTTCACCTTCAGCAGGACAACTCTGCAGGCCACCCAGGCTCCAGGGCTCCCTGAGGGAATCACCAGAGGCCCCCGTTGTGACTGCACCTCATTTCCTCTTCTCTCTCCACCCAATCCTGCTTCCCTCTCTTTCCACCGGTGTGAATCCTAAGCACAGCCCCAACAAATTTCTTGCACCCCAATCTCAGAGTCTCAGAGACTCTTTCCCAGGAACCTGACCTATAGAAAATGTGTGTGAATCAGTATGTTTTTTCTTTTAAATATGTTTTATTGATTTCAGAAAGAGGAAGGGAGAGGCAGAGAAACACCAATGATGAGAGAGTCATCTACTGGCTGCCTCCTGCACACCCCTTAATGGGGATCAAGCCTGCAACAGGAATAGAACTGTGACCTCCAGATTCATAGGCCGATGCTCAACCACTGAGCCACACTGGCTGGGCAGTATGTTTTTTCTGAATCAGGCAACATGCTTCTCTTAAAAAGACCAAGCAATTTCTTTTAGCATCAAGCTTAAATGACCACTGTCCTTTCCCAATGTAAAGAATAGCAAGATTGGCAGAAGCCTCGAGACAGGAATTTATCAATCCAAGACTGGACAGAGCCTGGAAGAGGGGCTATTTTGGGGAGACCCCGGTGGGAGAGTGAGGTTGGCAAGATGACCGTGATCTCTCTCAGCTTGACCTGATAATGATGCTGTCACCTTAGACAGCGGAGAGGGTAAATGGATTGCTCAAGGTCACAGAGCAGACTGCCAGGCTCTAGGAAAACTCCTGCCTGACACCCAGAGCAGGGCTTGTTCGCATTCCAGGTGGCTTCCGTCAGCCTAGCCTTCACTCTGGTTGTATACACACTCTTCTGAAGTTGCTATGGAAATCCCACTTCGGCAAGATGCATTCTGAAAGACATTTCTCATGTCTTGGGCTGGCTTTTATGTGACGAGAAAGGTTTTTCACGTTTCCTCCCTCCACGTAGGGAGGGGGAGTTTGTACTTCTCCGGAACAGCCTGCTGCTGGGAGGGCAGCAGCCGGTTGCTGGGAGGGCGGCGACAACAGCAGGCTTGTTTTCCTTGGCCCCCAGTGAGGCATTACATCAGGGGCTCCGAGGCCTGGCCGTTGGGGCGCTCTGGGATTCTCCTGGCTGCCTGCCCGCCTCCCACAGGCCGCCCAGGGCCTATCCGAGGAACCTCCTCATTAACCACTGTCACCCGCTGAGCAGCCTCGCGGGTGGAGGGATCCCCCCCCGCCCCAGCCCCAGTCCGAAGGGCAGCGGGCTGGGGAAGCGGACCTCCCTGGCACGCCCTGGGTAGAGGTCTGCCAGCTCACATGTGTGTGTTTATCTCGACTAGAGGAGCAGCAAGACCTCCCATCACACTGATAAAGTGGGCTGAGTCCTGCGAGCTGAGCCAGGTTTGTAGATGACCTGCCAGCCCCTTGAATGGATTCCCTTTGGACTCTTCCCTCCTGAGGCTTGGAGTTGTGCACACAGGCTGTCTCAGTATCTCTGGCCTGTCAACAGGTCTCTGGTGATGATGTTATGAATTTTCATCTTTTTCTGGTTCTTTGTATCATAATGAGAAATTTGATTCTGGAGACCTGGCCCCTAGGACTAGAGAAAACCAATCAGTGGCTCATTCTTTGTCTCATTAAAACAGACCCACCCCCCTCAGAAGGGAGATAAAAAGAGGTTTCCTTCCTCCACTGTCTTCTGCCTCCATCGCCGACACCCAGCTCTGCACCAACCAGAAGGCAGGGAGCAAGGACCTCCCTCCTCCCACAAACTCCTCCCCCCTCTGGCAGGCCTTCAGCTCCGAGGGGAGCAGTAGGGAGCCCATCTACAGGATGAAGCACACTGCCTGGGGGATGCGAGCCCCCAAGTAGGGCTTGTGTGCTGGGCTGAGCTGAGAAGAGCCTGAGGACCATGGGCTGAGGACTGTGGTTTCTCATGGCCCCCTGGGTTTGAGGTACAACCTCCAATGTGGACCACATGTGGGGACTCCCAGAAGAATGGGAAGAAATGATCAGAACTTCTAGCCGTAGTTATTTTTATCTAAAAAATTAGCACTGCTCGTATTTTAATACACAGGTAGATGGTAATACTTGGGTGCAATTTATGATGCACATACATGTAGCAGGGGGAGGCTGCATGCTCCAAAAATGTTTACTAGCAGGAGTGCATGATCTTAAAGGTTTGTAAACCACTGGTTTGGGGTGTCAGAGGACTAGTTAATGATGATTGTATCCTGCCACATTAGATGAAGCCTGCTAGACCCAGGAGCCCTGCCCTCTAGTTAGAGAAAGGAGTCAGCGCCCTGTAGGGCAGAGGAGCTGCTGCCAGGTGTAGACAGATCACCGGAATTCAAAGATGATTGTCACGGCGGGGGTGGGAGGGAATGGAGGAAAGGAGAGGACATGAGGGGAGAAAAGGGGATCCTACGTGAGGCCTTTGAAACAAATCTGCAGCATTAAGAAAGAGGAAAATAATCCTGGAGATGCAGAAGAATGTTTACTTATGAGGAACGAAAAGCAGCCTCAGAAGATTCCTGGGCATCCCTCGCAGGGTGCGAGAAGGTGCGGTGTCTGTGATGGGGAAGAGTGGGCAGATGTGGAATGAAAATGTATCTGTTTCACACAAGCAGAGAGTTCCAGAAAACTAAAATCGCTTCAGCAAAAAGAAAATCCATATTGGAGGCACTGAACTTTTTAAAATGTGGAAGACAAACTTAAAAGTTCTCTCTGAATGTAGAAGACCAGAACAAAGATATGAGAGAAGAGGGTGAGTGGGACTGAACTAAAGGCTATAAAATTAAGACTAAATCCAAGAATTAGAATTATCTTTGGAGGAAGAAACGAGAATCATTTGGATAAAAGCATAATCAAGGACATGCACGAAGAAAACCTTTCCAGAATTGGCCAGCTGAGGGGCAGTGAGGAGGTTTAAGATTAGGCAGATCAGAAAGGCTTTCCATTTTCCAGTTAGAAGGAGAGAAAAAAATTTTTTTTTCTGGAAAATTTACTGAATCATAAGGGTAAGCAGTCCTAGAAGCATGCAGGGAACAGAGCAGACTTTTCCTCAGGAACCCTAGATCCCAGGAGACGTTAGGGCATTACTGAGGAAACAAGAAAAACAAAAGTCATTCTTGGAGGGGTTTTTTTTGGACTCGGAAGGTAAACAACCTATATTTTTGGGGAGCTCGACTGCCAGTTGACCAAGGGATGAATCACAATTAAGATCTTCAGAATGGAACAGTGTGAAAGAAAGACCGGTGGACAGCATTGAAATCGTAATATAAAATCCAGAC